ACCTATTTTTACACTTTAACGTTCAACTATAGAAAATTGGTTATCATTCTGTATTTATTTTTAGGAGTCAAGTGAGCTGAAATAAAATGTCCCACTAGAATCATATTAACATTAGATTGCTGTTGAGTGTTCTTCCTGAACGTGGCCACTAGAGGTCAGTGTACTGTTCTTCCTGAACGTGGCCACTAGAGGTCAGTGTACTGTTCTTCCTGAACGTGGCCACTAGAGGTCAGTGTACATCGAGGCCATTGGCAGTGACCTCAGAGCATCATGAAGAGGCGCCTCAGTGCTGGGGGGCTTGTTGCCCTTGTCTGTGTTTTAATGTTTTAGGTTTGGAGGGTCCAGTCAGAATAAATGTTTTATTCAATTATATTCTGTGAAAGCTCTTTGTGTTTTAGCAGTTTGCATAACTTGTACATTTGATATGCACTGGATTTTTCTTCTTTTACGTTATTTTATATTTTAACCAAAAGTTCATTTTTTCCTTTATCTTGTCATTTGGTTCTTCATGAAATGTAAATCATATTTGTAGTTCTTTCACTTCTTTTGACAATACTATATATTTTTTTGTTTTTGACATAATACACACTAAAATACAAAAGGTTCATTTTAATCTTCTTTAATAATCTGACTATACTAGACTGTTTTTCAAAATTCTATACTGAAATATTTTTACTTTCTACTTTTTTATTTTCTTGATACGCCATGTCAGAAAATAATATGTATAAAGTTTGTACTACAAATTTGTTGAGATTTTTTGAATTTTGTTTTAAATTAAATAGTGGGGGTTTTCAGTACCATATGACTTTTTTCTGTGGTTATTTTCAAAACATTTTCATGAAGTTTGTTCTCCAACTTTTTTTAAGTCAGTGTAAAAACCTGTAAAACTACAGTGCATCCGCAAAGTGTTCACAGCGCTTCACTTTTTCCACATTTTGTTATGTTACAGCCTTATTCCAAAATGGATTAAATTCATTATTTTCCTCAACATTCTACACACAACAACCCATAATGACAATCTGTTAAAAATAAAGAACGAAAACATAACATGTACATAATTATTCACAGCCTTTGCCATGACACTCAAAATTTAGCTCAGGTGCTTCCTGTTTCCACTGATCATCCTTGTTTCTACAACTTGATTGGAGTCCACCTGTGCTAAATTCAGTTGATTGGACATGATTGAGAAAGGCACACACCTGTCTATATAAGGTATCAGAGTATGACAGTGCATATCAGAGCATAAACCAAGCCATGAGGTCTGTAGAACTCAGAGACAGAATTGTATCGAGGCACAGATTTGGCGAAGGGTATAGAAAGATTTCTGTAGCATTGAAAGTCCCAATGAGCACAGTGGCCTCCATCATCTGGAAGAAGTTTGGAACCACCAGGACTCTTGCTAGAGTCGCCTGCCCAGCCAGACTGAGCGATCGGGGGAGAAGGGCCTTAGTCAGGGAGGTGACCAGGAACCTGATGGTCACTCTGACAGAGCTCCAGTTCTATGAAGAGAGGAGAACCTTCGAGAATGACAACCATCTCTGCAGCACTCCACAAATCAGGCCTGTTTGGTAGAGAGGCCAGACGGAAGCCACTCCTCAGTAAGAAGCACATGACAGCCCGCCTGAAGGACTCTCAGACCATGAGAAACAAAATTCTCTGGTCTGATGAAACACAGATTGAACTCTTTGGCCTGAATGCAAAGCGTCATGTCTGGAGGAAACCAGGCACTGCTCATCACCTGACCAATACCATCGCTACAGTGAAGCATGGTGGTGGCAGCATCATGTGGGGATGTTTTTCAGCGGGAGGAACTGGGAGACTAGTCAGGATTGAGGGAAAGATGAATGCAGCAATGTACAGAGACATCCTGTGACACAGCAGACTGGGGCATTAACACATCCTCGATGAAAACATGCTCCAAAGCGCTCTGGACCTCAGACTGGGGCGACGGTTCATCTTCCAACAGGACAACGACCCGAAGCACACAGCCAAGATAACAAAGGAGTGGCTTCGGGACTCTGTGAATGTCCTTGAGTGGCCCAGCCAGAGTCCATCCAACCTGATGGAGCTTGAGAGGTTCTGCAGAGAAGAATGGGAGAACCTGCCCAGAAATAGGTGTGCCACGCTTGTGGAATCATACCCAAGAAGACTTAAGGCTGTAATTGCTGCCAAAGGTGCTTCAATAAAGTATTGAGCAAAGACTGAATACTTATGTACATGTTATGTTTTCGTTCTTTATTTTTAACAGATTTGCAAAAATTTGCAATAAACAGTTTTCACTTTGTCATTATGCATTGTTGTGTGTAGAATGTTGAGGAAAATAATGAATTGAATCCATTTTGGAATAAGGCTGTAACATAACAATGTGGAAAAAGTGAAGCGCTGTGAATGTTTTCCGGATGCGCTGTGTATCATTGGTGCTTTTTATTTTGTATGTATGGTAGAAAACTCATCAAACCATTTAAACCCTGACAATACCACTGTCCTCATATTGAGACTAGATATTTTGATCCACGCTGCAGCTGGACAAGCCCGAGGCTGAAATTTAGCCCCATGTCCCAAGAGAAATCAGGGCACTGGCCTATCCTGCTTGGTTGTCTTGGTTCTTGTCCCTCGGGTCAGATTACAGTCGGACATTTAAAAGCTTAACCTATTTCTTTCAGCTTGAAGTCTTGAAAACAGCATTACGTATTGGTGTCATAGGCCTACGGGTAATTATATATAAACAACCTCCCATTCAATCAGATTTATAATATTCAAAGATAAGGTCCTAAGTGACCTCCAGGTCTAGGGATCAGATGTTCCCTGACAGATTTCTGAAGCAGTGAGGCTGGTTTTCAGAAGACGGATCATTTAGCTGGAGGGATTTTAAATCCTCTGAGATAAAAAAAAAGAAAGTCTTAATGCTTTAACTACTGAACCATGGAAAGAAGCATCTGTTATCAGTGTGACGGTACTTCTACTGATGTGAACACATTAATTGATAAGTTCTACGCATCCTTATGATTTTCTTTCATCTTACTGATTAGAATGTATAAATTATTAACGTTGTCTGTATTGTATAAATGACAGCACAAACATTGCACCCACTGTCACTCTTGATTGATTCTCTTTGACTATTGCTTCCGTCAAATAAAGATGGACTTGTAGTAGAGGTCTAAATTCCTCTTTTGATCAAAGCTCATTTTTAACTAGTGTTTTTCTTTTTCATTCTCTGCGAAACATGTTTTTATTAATTAAATTAAATACATTTTTACTAATCAAAGGCATTTCTTCTCATTACTTGTTCGTAACATTGTTAAGAGACCACAAACTATACAAATAGTAATAGTTTTATTTGTGTACTTGTTACCTGTCTCCCAGTCCAGGTGCAATCAGGGTGATTGGGTTCCACCTGTGCCCGTTGATCAACGAGCTGGGGTGAAGCCTGGTGCTGGTTCTGGTTCTGGTGCTGGTGCTGGTTCTGGTTCTGGTGCTGGTGCTGGTTCTGGTTCTGGTGCTGGTTCTGGTGCCCCCCCCCCGACAAATGAGCCTTCTTCTTAACTACTAAATCCGTTCTTGTTCATCAGGTTATTTCTACACCATTTACAAACCAGACTCTTACCAGCCTGCAAACTTATTTTATATTTCATCTGGACTTGTTTCCAGTCTTGTTTGTTCTGAATAAACATTAATTGTAGAAAGATATTTAGAATGAGACACAGTTTATAGAGATTTGTGCATAAGGTTGTAAAACATTCTCGCGTTGTGAATAAGGGTCTGAAATGAGTCTTTAGGGTGAATTTCCAGAGGAACATTATTCCCTCTGCTCACTGTTAAGGCAAAGTAGGCTAAATAATACTACAGTTTATTCATATAGTGCTTTACATGGTAGGCTACTGAAAGACACTTTACAGTAACACCAGCACACACACACAGATACAGCAACAAAACCAACACGTGACCACAGGACCCTGCCTCCCCCCTCAGAGTACAACATCATACTAAGATGGGAGTGTTTGATAATAAAGTGTGTAAAAATGCCTGACTGACCTGTGTTCGCCGCCCCCCCCCCCCAATGCCACCCAGACAACCTGAAAAGGGGACGTAACAATACTATGAAATTAATAATAGTTTTATTTGTATACTAAACAAATGCTAATAGTTGTATTTGTACAGTGCTTTAAACGGAACTCTACCAGCAGCATCAACGAAAGCAACAACAATAAAAACAGCTGATGGATGACATTATAAAAACATCTTTGGTTGAGGTTAAGGAGTAAATTATACTTTTCATTTTGATCCCACCTGTCAGCAAGCGTCACTTCTTGTTGTCATTTGTCATCAGGGCTTTTAGTCCAGAATTAGTCTTCATGTTGGGTGGCTTAACAGAAGTCTGTGACCCTATCAACATGCATCAGAATTATCTGAGAGCAAGAAAAGGTCTCAAACACTACAGACCATTCTAAAGACCCTTGTGAAACTAACCTCACCTGCCCAGATTTGTCCCCATTTAGACAAATAAGCATGCTGGCTCAGTTCTCAGTGCCCACATTTGGCAAATCTTTCCTGGTTCGACCAGCGTTACCATGGACCTACAAGTACAAAATAATGAGCTGTAGACTTAAGACCCTTAATTAGAACTACGGCGCGGCTCCAATCCCTGAATTATATGGCCCCAGAACGCCTTCCAGAGTGAACGCGCGTTTTCATTACTTTGAATACTTCTTGGTCAATTTCCAGATAGTCAGAGCTGCAACAACTTTTTTATTTTCATTTTAATATTACACTTTATTGTTACTAACACATTAACTAATAACTTGCATACTTACAGAATATGTTTTCAGTTGGTGGAAAAGGTGCACATGTGTAGATACATCTCAATATTGAGGACAATAGAACTACATTTATAAAGAAAAAGTATCTGGAGGGAATTGATTGACAGGGTTTTGACTCACGAGAGCAGACGTGAGATATGCACCGTAATTTAATAAAATCATTTTTTTAACTAAAACACAACGTACTTTTGGACAAAAGCAGTTTTATTTCCTCTGAGGTCCAGGGTTTTTGTACACGTGAGGTAAAGTGAGCAATGAAGCAATGAACAGTACAACAGAGTCAATGAGGTTTAACAAAGACATTATAATATCTCCACAGACTCCTGCCGTAAGGGCCTAACATACTTTGCCTACTCAGAAGTCAAGTACAGAATTCTTCAATTCAAGAAGTAACTGGTGAAAATCAGTGAACAGAAAAAGTCGTATCCCTCCTAAATTACAGGCAAAACAATTAGCAGAAAAATGTCTGCCACATGGGGCCTGGCACATAGCCACTAATATTCAAAGGTGCTCATTGAATATGCTTTTGCTATTGTCTTTAATGTAGTTTGGGAGACCTCGGCACATCAGAGGATCGGAGCGACTGATCCGCCACCACCAGTGTCTGAACTCCCAAAGGGGGCATCCCGGCCCTGGTCTGTCCTACGTCTGGATAACATGTTTATGCTTGTTTAATAAATCATTGTTAAAAGTTCAGCAGTCTCTCCTGATGAAACTGTTTTGGTAGGCAGCTGTCACAATCGGGTTTGGTGGGGGCAGGACTCCATGCAGATCCATGCATTTTGCACAGTTTATATATTTTCCCATACCTCTGATGGCAAATACTAAAATAAATAAATGGGGGATCATTCATGATTATGTCTTTCCACCTGTACAGTACCACTGATTAGGGTCAATGAAACAGGCAAATGAAAAAACAATGATTTCCAAAAGGAATCAAACAATGAAATAAAATCTACAACACTAGAAAAGTATTTCCAATGTAACAACCTAATATTTACAAAGAGACCAAGTATGAACTACAAGTGGCAAAAATGTCTTGATGTATTGGTTTGTCAGAGCACATAATTCTGTTTTCAGCTTTATTTGCACATTTCCATGTTATTGTTTATTGGCTTGACTTTGTTTATCAGTTGTGTTGCTTCAGTCATCCACAACTTGTGGTGAATAAACCTTTCCCCAGTACACTAGACATTTCCCACCATTTTACTTCTTTATTTTTGCTGTGACCACATTCCACATACAAACCTTTCAATAGTCACCGGTTGCCTTCAGAATTAAGCTTATTTGCTCCTACTGAAGAAAGATGTCTTAATAAACAGGTTACAAATGCAGAGTTATATATTTTTGAATGAATTTTCATTTGGGATTCTCTGTTGATTTCCAGTATTACGTTTTTTTTAAGTAGTTTTAGGTGACATAAACCACCGAGTAAAAACAGATTACATAATTCTAATATATAAACCATAAACTCCAAATTTAAATAAGTGAATCAGGTAATACTATTTCATTTGTGATTAATAGTATCTGTAGTGATTGATTTTTATCAATCAGGATCGATGTACAGAGGCCAAACAATGTGGTTTTAATATAGCGTTTACGTGTGTAAAGATGGGTAACAATAGTAAAAGTAGTTGACATTATAAACTCTAACTATTACTAACTAGTATTTATGTGCAACACATTTTTGGCACCAATGTTTACAGACCCAAACTAGTAAAAAGCAATACCTGAGAATCGGTTTATTGCCAAACAAGGGCATCAGTGCCGTCTAACAACAGGCAAGGCCACGCCGCCCTCGGTTCAAGCTCACAAATATGTGTTGTGTGAAATTTTAAGGCTTAAATTGAATGCTTATGATTATTATTGTAGAGCAAACACACCCCAGCCAGTGCTACAATGCTTTCTATATGCATAAATATTAGGTATATCCGTCCTGATTCAAGGTATAAAGTCCAGTCCGCTTACTGGGAAACTAAATATCAGTTTCCTTTTTGATTCTACGCTCACATGTCACATCAACCCCGCAGACAAGTCACGTGACAATATTTGACCCGCCAAAGTAGGACACAAGAGAGAAAACAATGAATATCTCTATTAGCACATCACCAATTATTGAGGAAGTATGCAGCAATACATAAGGCAACAAGACATAATGGGATAATGCAGCTGAAGCATTACTGTGTTGCTGCTGTATTGCTTTACTTTGAGTGGATTTTGTGCAATAAGGTTAATGTAATTTTGGCAAATTTTTACAAAGTTATTGGTTATGGAGGCTGTTTTTGGCCTCTGCTCCGAAAATGGCATACCGATGACAAAAAATGTAATTTCTCTGGAACTACTTTGTCTAGCTGCACAATTATTTCCTGTCAGGATAAAGGGGAACAACAGTGAGTGTTCTGGTGTAAAATATCAGTATATATGTTACTGGTGAAGAAATAAGGGCACACAGAAATTGCCTAATGAAAAATTCACTCACAGGGTATCTATCCCCAAAACATGGAGATATCAGGCAAAAACACTTCGAAGTCATAGACCAGTGTGTCTCTCTGGGTGTGCAGCATTATCATGACTGCCTTGACGTGTGCCTTGTTGTGGATGTATGGGGTGGCTTGTTGTTAGGGTGGAACAGGTTCTTGTGACGGTGGTTCTAAAGTGTCTGAAGAAAAGGTTGATTGAATTTGGGTATAATTGCCTGATTATCATTATCAAATGTTGACAATTGTATGCTGTTGCTAAACCAACAGTGACACAATTGGCCACTTCTAAACAGGCGGTGCGTACGCCTGTTGGATGAATTTAAACCTGTGGGATAAGTGTCATAAAGGGATACCGGAGAAAACCACATAGTGCCTTCTGTATCAGAGGCCAGTTGGGTGTTCAGGACACGTGCAAACCCTCCACCACACGGTGGTGGTTTACGAAACCTTTATGTATATATAAAACCTATTTTAGTCAATATTCTTCATTTTAAAGAATGCGATTCTTTTTGATTCGTTAAGCAGTATACGCTTGTCTGAACTAACTACATACACATATATTAAATATGGGTTATTAGAACCATTCTTTCCCTTACTTCTTTCTAATTGCAGATATTGATTAAAAAAAACAATTTGTTTGCAATTGACGTAAATAACAAACCCTGTAATTGAACATAACCTTAAAAGTAACGTTCACAGGGACCATACCAATGTCAACTGAAGACACTTACGACATCTTCGTTCACAGATGTTGTTGAGGAAAAACAGCAATTGGCCACTGGGTTTTCACTTTAGTGAAAGGGTTAGTTAGTGTCCTGGGGCGTCATGCTATCACGTCTCCACACAAAATGAACCCGGATTAACCTGAAGCAAAATTGAGAATATTCCATGGGGCACATTACTGAAAGCTCTATTAACAAGTGCTATATCTGCTTTCCTTCACTTCGACATGTGAGGTTGTGGCCCTGAAGCTGCAGGCTTTCTTTTTGACCCTCTTCTCCAACGCTGTTGAACTATCGACTCGACAGCCTTCGTGTACGTCAGCAGACAATAATTAATCCCCATTTCCCAACTTCTCCCTCTCCACCGGATGACATTTTAAAAAGCTCAACGTAGCACGTATTAAATTTACAATTTATAATTCATGGAGTGAAGGTGCACAAGATGATGACAACTGGACAAAGGAGTTTACATTTTTTTAGTATTGCTTGTCTTCATTCCTGAAAAGTGTTTACATGAACATCAATCCACATAAAACGTTTTAGAAATCAGATCCCAGGTGTGTGCAAAAGTAAGTCAATTTAAAATAATTAAATGGTTTTGGAAAACGCACTAATTCACATTCTTGTCATGAGTTAGATGAAGAAGCACATTAACCAGCTATCCATATAAATGTAGGAAGCGTCAATCCATCAGCTTAAAGCTGCTGCGTGACATTATTCTTTTACCACTAAAACATATTAAGATTTCAATGATATAACATCATTCAAATGCAAATCCAAACTATAGGAACCATCTGCAGCGTTGAATCAAGCCGTGGGCGTTAAGTGGGCCAATAGCCCCTTGCCTACTTACTACCCCCCGGCCCCCAATTCCGTCCTTCATTATCCAGACAATACCGTCACAGTAACAACATCTGTCCACAGACAGGTATTAAAGTTGTATTAACACAGATTATAGCTGCAATGAAACGGGAAGAGCGGACCCACCCTCGTTGGGCTCTTGGACATGCATCATACCCACTGATGAGAATCGACAACATCGGTCGACACTCTCATGTGTCTCTACTAGCTACACCAAGCAACTCTGTAAGAGACTTCTCTTCCTTTTCTAAACGACTTGAAAAATCAAGATACATGTTCATTTGTGAACTATATTATTTGTTTGCTTTTGATACAGATAAGCCTGCAGATGTCCATTAATTACCATTTATTATGCTGTGATTTCTGCCTGTCTAGGATGTCCTAGCATCATAATTAGACACACAGACACACACGTGTGGTATCAATCTCCAACTCCAGGCAAGCGTATAAACATGAACCAACATGTCAAACAATTCATGGAAAAAAAGATACAGTTATTTTTGCTCAACAAACCAACAATAAATAGATAGAAGAAAATGAACCCTGGACCAACCACAGTTGTCCCTTAAAGAGAGAGAGAAAACAAGCTGGCATCAATGCATAATGAACAGTCTTGCTACTAAAGTGCACATCTAGGTGTGAGTTCCACTGATTAGCATCACGCAACGTCTCGTCGTGTGCAGGTGTTTGCTTTATCAGATGACTGTATACAAGCCCCCAGGTAAAGGAGTACAAAAAACAACAGCCTGTACAAACAGTAAAATTCAACTTTGAGCTTGAGCTTGATGTGTCTCCGAGAAAGGAGGGGTGGAGGTTGTCAACCAGGGATCCAGCGTGGGTGACAAATAAAGCAGCGAGACCCAGGAACCACCAAGAAACCAAAGTGAGCTGTGGTAGATTTCACAGCGGGTGACAGGCAGCGTGTGATTGGGCAAATGTGGGCACGAGGGGGGGAAGGGACAAGGCAAACCGTCCCAAGTAGGAGAGGCAAGAGGGTCACGCAGCCTACAGTTTCTGTCACATCTCGATTTGAGCTTCTTTGGCTGTTGTATTGTCCTTTACCGAGCCAGAGATGGTGTAGAACCTGCAGGGACATAGAAACAAGAAGCTCAGTTTTTTCTACACTAAAATCCATCCAAATTGTGCCGACATTCTGTCTTTTGTTGGCTTGTATGATTTTTGCTCCCTTGTGATTGTCCTCATTGTTCTCTCCTGTGTCCAATCACCTGCACCTACACCAGGATCCTGTTTGTGGACTTCAGCTCCGGATTCAACACCATCATCCCGTCTCTGCTGCGGGACACGTGCCCGACTCCACCTGCAAGTGGATCACTGACTTCCTGTCTGACAGGAAGCAGCAGGTGATGCGGGGGACACATGTCTCAGCCTCTCTCTCTGTGGTGGGCTAAACAAGTTGTAACCCGCCACCATCAGGACCAAGACCTCCACAGAAACAGTTCCTTCCGTCATCAGTCAGTCTCTTGAACTCTGATTCCCCAATGACCCAAATACTTCATCCACGGTTTCTCTCGTCATGGAAACGTGTACATATTTTATTCTTATATCTCACCAATCAAGACAAATTCTGCTATGTGTAACATATGTGGCAATAAATGGCTTCTGGTTGTGTGTATTTGCTGTTCCCCAATGTGACGTATTAGTCATCTCTTGACTTTATCGTGCAGTTGTTTTTCTGGCATCAGGCCTACTTGCCTCCAGGCAACTTGGTTTTCTTGATTAAAGTATTTATTGTGTTGGAAAAGATGGTTCTGCGTGTGAGTCTTAAGGCCGCCGCGTGTTTCTGCGTCTTTACGCGTCGACGCGCTGGTTTCACTTCCTGGTTGTAAAGTCCTGCGTGTGTTGCAGAGCGATTCACCTCCAGAACAACAGGTGGAGTCACGTGTTTTGTTGAAGACGACCTGGAGAGTCACGTCTTTGTGTGTGGAAGTCGCTGGTTGCTTTATTTATGTATCATAGACTTTATTGCCCCGTGCATCCACACTGCTGCTTTTCATCAAGGACACATTTGTCCCGTATTTTCCTCCACGACTTTGTTCCCCTCGTTTGTGGAGATCTCCCTCCATGAATCAGAGGCCATCCGGCGTCCTCATAGTCCGCCAATGACGGCTTGTACAAGCGCTCATATTTAAAAGCTCTTCAATCTGATCCGTTCTCTCGTAAACGTTCTTCCTTTTAATAACGGCCGTATTGTGCTGTGAAAACGGAGACGTGAGACTCTAAAGGACGTAGTCAGAGACCAATCACAGCCTGCTGCTGCAGGAGGCAAGCCTAGAAAAATGGGTCGACACACGCAAGGACGCAAGGAGGTGTGAAAAGCCACGCGAGGGACACGCGAGGGACACGCAAGGGACACGCAAGGGGGGGTCTGCGTTGCTCTGAAAAAGCAGAAGCATAAACTGGGCTTCTGCCAACTTGGACCCTACTTCCATCATAATGTGCACAACCCTAAAATATATCGAAGTAATTCATTAATTAATTAATCATTAAATATCTGATATCTCATAACTAGAAGAACAGGCGGTGCTACACTGCATTTCGTAATGTGTTTGAGTATTGACCTTTGACCACTGTAAAGTTCTATTTACGTCAATTGAATACCTGCAGGATGCTGCGATTTTTAGCTTGTTTACGGTTGTGTCTGAACGTGCTAAGGACTCGATTATGCACCAACTGAAAATGCTACATCTGTCAAGGTGTGGTTCACTTCCTGTCTTATTTTGTAGTTTTCTGCCACTCGTGTCCCCGGGTAACCTCACTTCCTGCCTTGTCCCGTCATCCCCCGTGATCGTCTAATAGTTTCCACCTGTGTCCAATCACCTGCACCTCCCTGTGTCTTTAAGCCGTGTGTCTCTTGTGTCTCTTGTGTCACTTGTGGCGTCATTGTCGATCGTCGTGGATGTTCGTAGTTTCCTGCCTGCTGTTTTCCCCTGGTTCCTGTGTTTTTGCCTTTTGACTATTAAAGTCTTTTGTTTTCCGAGAAGTCTGCATTTGAGTCCTGCCTCCCCCACGCATCCTTGACAACATTGGTACATTACAATGTAAGCTAAAATAACGGGGGTCTCAAACTCAAATCCGGTGCGGGCCAGATGCAGCCCACTTACGGGCCAGACCATTACGGTTGACGGGGGGGTGCACCAAAGTCTGCCCCCCCCCTGCGGGCTCACCGGACGCCTCGGCAGTGAGCAATAATGGATTAGAAGTGCTGTATTCATAACTTGCAGAGAGAGTGACTTTGACCTCGATGGGACTCTAAGAGAATCGGTCGACAGTGATTCTGCTGCGGAAAGTGATGCCCCTTTAATGAACACATGATTGCTATTGTTTAAACTAAGGTTGAATGTACAGAGACATTATCGATGATGTTACGCTGGTGGATGAAGCTGCAGCAGCAGATTCAGGTTACAATGGCTAGTGGATGCAAACTTAGTAGAAAGCTGTTAGCCACACAATAGGGAATGAACTGATGGTTATCAATAGTAAAAGACTCTATTTACCTTGACTTTCTGAAATGCCTCGGCTTCTTCAAGCCCTTGAAACAGGAGGATTTCATGCAGGAATTTTTCAGGTCCAGCACCTGGTAGATGATGGGGTTGTACATGGCCGAGGACTTGGCTAGCAGTGTGGGAATGACAGACACAGAGATGGGCACGGAGTCTGGCTCTCCAAACGCAGACACCACCGACACAACTGCATAAGGAATCCAGGCTATCAAGAAGCCTGCACAGATCAGCATGGCCACCTGATGGGACACACACAGAAATAGTCTGTTCTACTATGACCACATTTCTTATTTTCTCTTTGTCCAGCTCTTTTTCTCATCTTCTTCTCTTCCTTCTCCTCCTTCTACCCACCTTTGTGAGTTTTATCTCAAGGTTGTGGCTATTTTTGATGCGGGCGTCAAAGTTTGAAATCTCCTTTGCGGACGACTTCACCTTGAAGATAATCATGACGTAGGAGAAGACAATTATTCCTGCAGGGAGGACGAGACAGAAGAACAGGATGGCCACGACGAAGCTCTGGCCGGACACGGAGGCCTGTGCCAGCCACCAGTCCAACGTGCAGGAGGTCCCGAAGGGCTCCGGGGCATAGTTTCCCCAGCCCACCAGGGGCATTGTGGCCCAGAAAGCTGCATACATCCACACAAAGACCAGGCATAGAAAGGCGTGCTGGCGTTTCAGCCATGTGCCTGAGAGTGTAGAGAAAGACAATGGACAAGTAGACAGGGAGAAGTTAGAAACGTAATTATATTTGTTAAAATCATTTTGAATTAGCTTAAATTTATACCTGCTTTCTTGAGTGAAGCTGCATGAGCAACTATAAACAACTACATCCAACTTGACATTACAAAAAGGAAGGTCTGGTGGTGACCCATGCTCATATTAGCAAGCTAAGCTAATTCACAGTCTACCCTGCTATCTTTCTATGATCGTGCAAAATGTGGAATTTTTAAAAGAACAGACAGCATTAAATTGTTAATAGCTTGTGGTTACTGCTATGAGAAATTTAATTAAACATAATTAATAGTATGTCAGATTGTTAAACCGTAATTCATGTCCAGGGACACTCATAAGGATTCTGGGTGCACGCATGGGCTCCAGGATAAAGGTTCAAGGATTGATTTATTTGTGGTTTGTACTGGAATTATGAATTATTTTACTAGGCAACAATTACACAATATTTAGGAATCAATTTTGAAGTTGTGGGTTTGGATCTATGGTGTGACAACTAATCTGTATTCAAATCGAGGAGGGCGGGTGTGCATATAATTCAAATGTTTATAAGACGTACCGTATCTGAGATGACAGATCTTCAGGTACCGGTCCAGACTGACCACGGTCATGGTGATGAGGCTCCCGCAACCGAAGAAGAATCCCGCCCAGCCGTAGAAACGACAACCCTCCCAGCCAAACAACCAGCGGTGGGCGAAACTAGATACAACAAAAAAGGGCTTTCCTGTCACTGAAGGAGGAGGGACGGAAGACAAGTAAAAAAAGAGGATTGGAATTGGGGTCAGAGAAAGAGATGAAGGGGAAGACAAAGAAAGGAGAACAGGTTGAGTGAATGGACCAAGATTAGGTGTAGCGTTTACTACGTCACGGGTGTTGGGCAGCAACAAGTGGGAGGTTCACGTGATCAAAGCACGGGCCAATCAACGGCTAGAAGGGGAACCGATTATTGAGCGGTTGTCCCGTCAGGAGAGATGCGCCACCGGTAAACTATAACCTGCTATGTGGACAAATCGGCTGTTCGGTGAAATCATTCAGCCAAATAAAAACCTACCACCAGTTATACCAACGTGTCCTCTCCTGATGCCCCGTTCGGTGGGGAGATTCTTAAAGAACCGAACATTAGATGATAAAATCAAATTATTATTCACTACCACTCCCCATGTACACAACCTTTTCTTCAACAGAGACTCTAGACTGTTAATTAAGGATTCAAGAGATCTTTAGGTTTTTAATATTATGGTTTGCATGCACATTATTATATTGGGACAACGTAATAATTAAAATAGGAGAAAAGAGATGAGCGTGAGGCTATACCGGTTCTTGCAGAAAAGCTTCTGTGGAAGGTTACGTCCTGTCTCAAGGTGTGAATGCTATGGTAGCTTAGACATTTTCATGGGACTGAACCCTGTGAATGTGCTTTGAACACAGCAAGGATTCATTAGTTCAGCACAAGGCTCCTGTGTCAGCAGCAAAGCTAAGTGACTCCCTGATTGTTTTAGTGTGTGTCGGATGCGGACCCTTTCCCCAGAAAGCTGGACGAGCCAGGGGCCATGTGGCGTGGCCAGCCTGAGCGGCGTAAAAGGGATTAATGTCAGAAACCCCTCAAGACATCTTTGCATAACCATGAGCCAATGATGTGATGAGTCAAATGCTTTCTTGGAATCACAGAATACCCAGCGGGGCACGAACACGGTCGCTCACATGGTTTGAGGCCAATTGATTCCAAGGCATAGGAGCAGAAAAACTCCACAAATCAGGCCACTGAAACGGCGATTATGGTTGTTACTTGTCTTCCAGCTCATGTAGGAATGATTACTGCGTACATAGAGATTATGTCTGGAGTTGAGATTTGGCACCTGATCCTCTCCCCCCCAGAATGCATGAACAGTTTGGTGTGTGGGTGTCTAACTCAGCTTCAGTTTCCTCAATACTCAATTTGGGATTAATCCATTTAGGAGTTTTCTTTTACTTGTATTCATTTTGCTGAAGATGTGCTACCACTGCCTGGCATATCATGGGGAATAAAGCATCCAGACTTGTTGACTCCAAACCCTTTATTAGATTAATTAGATTCCCTGGAAGGGAAAAACATGGCCCCTGCTTTCCCAAAAGCAAATCCAGAATTCCAATACATCCACTCCTCCACTTGAGATGTTGACGACCGGTTCTTTTCTTTGCAATCTCTTTAGACAGGATCCGAGTTAACTGGACAGGAACGTTTCTGTTTGTTGTCAGAGTATATTTGACTAATTGTGCTCTGGATGAAAGAAGGTGAACGGGCCATGTAGAGAGACAAAGAGCACCTGTTTCCAAACCAGAAGAGGACTTGTCCTCTATAGGTCATCGGTTTGAAATAAGAATTGACACAAGTGTTTGGTGCAGCGAGAATATTGACCCGGTGGCAGTGCTTAAAGGTAGCAACACATCCTCTTGGAACCATGATCATTCATGGGAGATTTCCTTGTGATGTGGTGAATAGATGTCACGACAACAGCTTCCGGATCAAAGTGGTGGATGGAAACACGGCAAACCCAATCAATCAGTGAATGCATCGTTTAGGTCCAATGGGGCCAAAAACTAGAATCAAGGAATATGTCAGAAAGTTAATTAGAAAGTTTTTCATTTTGATCTGGAGACTGTCCGTTCAGGATCTGCTCTGGACGGACGCTTCCGGAACTTATACGGTTATTGTCAGCTACAACTGTTCATTTTAATCACCGCTTTGGTCTTGAAAAGGCTGTAACATGTAATCGAGATACAAATGCCAGTTTTAGACACTTTAATCATTTAGTGTATTATAATTTTCAAGATGATCAGGAAGAGCCCTCCATGTCCTAAACTCTACTATAAGGCTTAAAGAGAGAACAGGTCAACCAGGAGAGGATTAGTGAGGATTACAGCAATCAGGGTATTGTATTATACAAGGTAAAAAAAAAAAACCTGTGATTACTTGATTTGAGCTGAATAAAGAGATGTTTTTTACTCATTTTAAAATCCTACATAATTCATTTGCTGTATTAATGCTGCAGCCAGTTGAGTTGTAAAAGCATTCCCAATAGCTTTCACCGTATGCGCCAGGGACCAGAGGACCAGAGGGTGGGGCATTACGCGTGGAGGTAGTGATGGGCAGGAACAGCGAATGAGTTTGGGGGTGTGGCTTGCTGAGGCAAGGAGATTCCGGTTGCGACTTCAGCCAATCCCTGAGCTGATTACTCATGGAGGTTCCAGTCACAGTTATCCCGGGACAGAACATTTTTGATGAAATATGGACAAAAAGGTGGAAATACCCCAAAATATAAACACTGGTGTTTAAAAATATTGGTGATCTTATGTTTAGATCAGTCAGCAAGTATGGAACACACACAAGAATGACGGTTTTGGCCGCATGGACTATGTTCAGTTGATTAATCAGTATATATTTTTGGTTATTTGTTCCTTTTGTATTTCTTGTACAGTTAAGTTTCTGTTCTATTTCAGTTTTAGTTGAATTATTATAACCACTATAGCAGGGCTCTCAAGCGTCCCGCATTGAGCTTGACAGTCACTCATTTCGGTCTTTAGACATGCACTCCCCCCACACATCCAATTTTCCACAAAAAAAAAAAAAAATCGGACTGAGCCACGTTGGTTCCTCTTCAACCTCCCTGTCGGCCGTAGCGTGTAATGCAGCAGTGATGCATTCTAAAGTCAGCCTTGGTTTTATGCTATGGTGGGAGCACACATTAGCATAAACAGATTTTGATTGAAATTGAGAAATTCTCCAGAGAGAGACCGGGTACAAATTATTCTACAAAAAGGGTGACCCTCCTCCATGGTAAGCAAAGCCTTTACCATGAATATCTGGATAGCTAGAACCAGGACACTTAGGCGAGAAGTTTAGCACTTCTCATCATATCTGGTAGCTGAACCTGTCCAGGAGACTGCGGCTCAACTGGTAGCCGTAAATTGTACCATTTTTTCCCCTCTAGTCACTTAGACATAAAAACATGGGAGGATAGGGTCTGTATCCTAACATAGAGTCAAAGTAGTCTGTAGAAAGAAAGCCTGCTGTTGTGGAGCAACAATGAGAGCAAATTAGGATGGTTTCCCAAGGGCCATGTGTTAATAATTCTAAGAAAACATGAGTTGCAAAACATGGTGTGGATTCTTTGTGCTATTCATGGACATTGTGTCCATAAGTTCTGAAAAACAAACTGCTACCTAGAAGCTGAAAGAGAGGGATCCGAGGGAGATTTAACTGAGGGACACACAAGGCTCCAACATCTGCCGGTCCAAAGACACTGGGGAAGCAGAATATCTCATCATCTCACTGAAAAGATCTGCCTTTAAAATAACAAGCACTCTATATGCAGACTTCAGCGGGAACAGGGGTTACTTATGCAAACATGGAATACATATTTGAGTGGGGCAGCAGCAGCTCAGTACACAAGGATTTTGAAACCTGCTGTTTGAGAACAAGAATGGAATAGTAGCTGGAGAGGTGCAGGTTTGTCTCCACTGCCGAGAAGTCCTTGAGCAAGACACTAGTCCCCCAAACTGCTCCCCGTGTAATCCAACATAAATGTCCACTGCTCCCAATACTAAGGGGGGTCGATGGTGGCGCATGGGTAGAGAGGGTGCGCTGGGAACCACAAGGTTGGTGTTTCAAGCCCCAGTTGCTCCATGTGTCCCTGAGCAAGACACCCAACCCCTAATTGCTCCCCCAACAAAAATGTAAATGCCATGGGTTCAAAATGCAGTGTAAGACGCTTTGGATAAAAGCGTCAGCTAAATGACCTGTAATGTAGGAAGGGAAAAATATGGATGTCAAGTACTGAACCGGTTCAATGAAAGAAAGAAAAACCAAATGTGGTATGAATGAATTTGTTGGCACCATACAAGAAAAAATATACTTTACATTTCATATTAAATTAATGTAATACATTGGGTCCTCTTCAACCCCCCCAACGGTAGGTGGCCCCCCCCATCGGCCGTAGCGTCTCACCCTTGTTGACCTCATCGTCTGCGCCACCCCCCCCGGCGTTGGATGTAGCGTCCACTCCACGTCACCCCCGAATAATTAATGAACTTAATTATTGCAAGGAACATCTTTCCAAACATTACATTACAAAAGCAACTTACACCGTATTTTTAACCCATGGTTCTTACATTTTGCCTTGTTGTTGTGAGTCGTCTTGCTCAGGGACACTTGGACACGGGACATGGAGCGGCCAGGGTTTGATCCGGCGCACCCTCTCAGTTAACAGCAGGATCATATTATTTCATCTGGTTATGTTCACATGATTATGTGGATAAGGGGGGGGGGGGGGGGTTCAGAGTGTCTTGTAAATTCAGTGGGCTTCACACTGACAGCAGGCAGTATATTAAGACCCTCACACACCGGGGGGTGCTTTGTTGGCCGACCACAGTGGCAGTAAAGCCCAGAGACAGATATGCCTTGTTCTATCTTCCTGCTTGTACCTTTTACGGTTTGTGCCGTTGTGATGATCGCCTCGCCTGTTGCAGCTGTCAAAGATTATCATGTGATTTGATCTTTACACTGGTCACTACTCTCTCTCCGCCCCTCACAGGGGGGGTGCCCCGCTGTTGGGAACCACTGCTATAGCTTATGCTACATGTGTTGACAAACCACTGCCTTTCTACTGTGAGATGCATGAAATGGTAAAATATGTTGTAACGTTTTTCTTGTGCTAAACCCGTGTCTCAAGTGTCTGTTTTTGACCCTGACGTGCAAAAGCAGAAAGATTTAAGGTTTCCATGTGCAGCTGTGTCTGAAGAAGGGAGTTAACTTGCTCTCAAAGGAGCAGTGTGTGTTACCTCATCTTCACCTGGGTTCTTATCTCAACCTGCTTTGCAGCTTCTCGTACCCGGCACTGAGGATGTCCTTCACATGTGTATGGAGACGCCATTACACCGAGCGCTGAGATACGTGCTGCTGGTGTGTTGGACCTCCTGATTATAAGCAATAGTTAGAGCCAGATATCTGCGGAGAATTGCTCATGTTAACTTATTGACTTTAATTGATCAACGTGTTGCGATCCTTCTCATCAACCGACTCGGGGGGATCGGAGACCCCGACACTACACATCCATGACCTCATTCAAACTATACTCATGTGATCTGTTACCAATGTGAAAATTGTGAAAAGGTTGATTAGTCAGATTTCAAATGGCAAATGTCATAATATTCACTTTTAATACTGAAACTTGTTCATAAACATCTGTTATGTTTGCGGTAATAGCTACAGTTGGTTTAAGGTGGTTTAAAAAAGACCTTGAAGGTTGTGTGACACCAAAAGTCTTTCTGAATCCAATCACACTTGCCATAGATTTATTTTTGGCGTTTGTTAATAACGTTATCAAACCGAGGTCTGTGAGAAATACCCCAGTGAATGCGCTTGAAGCTGCCTGTGCCCACACGGTGGTGGAGGAGCGCTCCTCAATGTACTCAATAGGCGAAAAAAGGTTTGGAATAGATTCTGAATCAAACCGTGACCACAAAAATCCAAATCCAATTATGGAATTCTCTGGGATTACCACGACTGCTTAAAAACCATGTGGTTTGTCCATCTTCACATTTTTTTGTCTTTGAAGGAAGCAATGTCAATGGAGTTTTGTGCACATTTTAAAGCCTCCAGTATCCAAGGTGATATCACCAATGTATGAGTAGACATGGAAGAAATGTAGCCATTAATATCCAACATTAATTAAATGTTATTTGTATTTCATTAGTTGGAGCAGCACAACCATCTGCATAGAAATTCATGTATTATTATCTCTTAGTTTGTGTATTAAGGGTGGGAAATGTCACCTTTTTTATACCGTTTTATTTATTTATTTACTTAATTTTAGAGATTGCATCATATTCAGTGGTAGTAAAACTCCATTATGCCTCCTCGCCTTTGTGCTTCAAACTCACTGCAGAACGTCCTGGCTGGTTCTGGTCATCGTTGTAACGAGATGCTCCAACCTTTAATGGCAGCATACACACAACTGGTGCACTGACCCATTTTGGAATAAAAGTCTGTAGTTTTTCTCAACAGGCCTTAACAAGGATGTGTTTGAGAAAACAGCCAAGGACTGCTGCGTCTTTGACCACGAGATAAACACATGGGCTGACAAGCAGACTACGCTTCCCGAACACACACAGTCTTTGTTGACTGCTTTCTGCAGAGTGGGTCACTACCGGGTCAATATCCCACACTGATGCACGCCAACACCCGACTCCAAACGGACCGGATGTACAGCGTCAGATCAGAGGACGAATAATGCATGCATTTACAGAAGAAATGTGCTCCAAGGCATTACGGGGATTTACAGTTTGTGCTGCTGTGTCACAATTAAATACAATACAACCATTTATTTGTCATGTTTTTCTTTTTACTTGACAGGGAACAATTGTAGGTGGAACTTGAGATGGATTATCTGCGCCTCGTGGTTTCTGCTGTTGCGCTTGCATTGTATTGAAAAAGCCCCTAGAGCAAGATGACCTCTTTCTCATTCGTTTCAATGGAACTCATTTATTCAGACTCAAGACTAACTGGGCTCCAAAAACTTTACATATTACAAAAATGAAACTTGCAAGCATCATGGGTCAGCTGGTATTGACTCTTTGGTGATTTACTGCAGAGTCTACCTAACTTGTTACACTGCATGCCCTTGTAGCACTCATGAATGAATGGTTATACACAAAATGTTTGCTGGTTAACAGACGGATTAAAACATTACCCAAGATTGTCCAAATGGAGGGAGCAAGAAATGTTGGGGGACCAAGCCCTTCCTCCTGTGAATGATGGTTTTATCTGAAGGACCCATGTGTTTTGGAGACCGAGAGGATGGATCATGACATAACATGTAAAAGCCTTAATGAGCTCCTGAATTCTTATCCGGCAATGAGTCATATTTCAATTAGTCTAAGTAAACTTGGTTTAGGAACACATTTCAACCCTCAACAACCAGATGTATGAATGCAATGTATTCAACAATACAATCGTAAATGTTAGCATTGTCATTGTGAGCATGTTGATATGATGAATTGCATGCTGTTGAATTATTATAACTAATTATTAGGGCTGTCTACATAAGCGTGTTAATCTATGCGATTAATGTGGTGGCCGAGATTAATGCGACAAAATATTTGAGCGTAGTTAAAAATGTGTGTAGTTTTATCTTTAAAATAACATTAACGATTAAAGCTGCACGCAGCGTTGGACGGGTCCTCGCTGTGGCCGTCGCACAGAGCGTCCGAGAGTCAGTCGTCATTAACCGTGTGGAGCGACGCGAAATGTCCAAACTTTCTGTTAAATCTCATTCACCAGCCGTCTAAGCAATTTCAGATGGAAGCTATCGATAGTTCCATAACTTCACTTCAGATCGATAGTACACATCCCCTAGGTGTCGCTCAGAGATGACCAGGACATTCTCTCAAAATACCATACATGAGCCAATTTCCTTCACGAGACTACTTCTGACCAATTTGAGATTATATTAAAAAGGAAACTATCAATAGTTACACAGTAGATCCAGAGTAGACATCTCCATGGTGTCACTCAGGGATAACCGGGACATTCCGATGTACCATTCCAAAATGAAAGCCTCTCAAAATACCATAAATGAGCCAAAATGTCAATCACAAAACTACATTTGGTCAATTTCAGATTAGATTTAAAAGGAATCAATAGTTACACAGTATTTCCACTTTAGGCAGAGCGTACGCATCCCCAAGGTGTCACTCGGTGATAACCAGGACTTTCTCATGTACCATTTAACAAATTAAAGCCTCTCAAAATGCCACCTTCGTTTTTTACTGGATACTAGAAAATTGCTGTTACCAGTAGGTGGCGCTATGACTTGATTCTACTTTACATCTCTTCAGGCCCAGAGTCTCTTCAAACATGTGTAAATTGGAAAGAATCCGATGATGTCCAGTAGAGTTACAACAGTTTAGTTGTTCTTGGCGAAGGATCAACTTTGCCGATGCTCCATCTCACCACCGATTATCGGACTCCTACATACACAGTGAAGCATGAAACTGAGTGATCGTCAGATTAACCTGTGAGGAGCAGGGTGTAAAATAAAATAAATAATAAATAATGTTGTTTTATTTCTAAGGTTTGGTCATGCTAAAGGATCTTGGACGTCTCCGTCGTTCTTTCCCACATTTATCATTCTTGCGCACACAGAAGCCGGTACCTGATATCCCAAAGTCGAAGACGGCAAGATTGACAGTCATGAGCTCCGGGGGCTTCAGCTTGGATTTGCGTTTGATGGTCATATAAATGACGTAGCCGTTTCCTGTTGCAGACATGATTCCTGTTAAAGAGAGAGGGAGAGATACTTTATTCATCAGCACTTTGTTCGGTTGTCCTTACGTACTGTAAACAGGAATGCTGCTGTAGGAAGGAAAGTTTGTGATAGAGACATTATCATATATGCATATTTGATAGTTTGGCTGTTACATAAAACAGCACAACACATCATGTAACAACATCGCATTATGTGAACATAATACTACATTTTCACATCATATAATAACACCCACATTTCAAAATAATATTCTGCACTGGACGATAAATGGCTTAAAAGCAGTATTTCATTTGCTCTGATTTTGTAATATATAATTCAAAAGGGCACTATTATTATTTTATTTAAATGGGATAATACCCAACCAAAATATGGATCTCTTCATCCTGTTGTCATTTTCTACTATCTTTTTAAATGAATCACTGATTCATTAAAAAACCTTAAAGTGTTATAATTATTTTTATAAATGACGATATTTATTACTTAATTCCTGTGGCATTGACATTGTTATGACTACAATCTGCACCCCTACATATTGTGTCGAGGGTCATCATCATTACATGTAGCAGATAATCACCAAATGTTACAAAATGAAGGAAAAATGGGCAAAATTGATATTGGTTCATATTTGAAAATTCATATTGCGCAACGCTGCTATTAAATGAGTGTTTTACAAGTCAATGCAATACAAAAATCATGCGGAGAAGCTCATAAATAAGGCAGGTACAGGATATAATCCCTAGATGAATTTAATCAAGAGACCAATTTAACTAAAATAACGGCGTGGGAAAATCTTTATGCTGGAAAAACAGTACTAAATTAAAAAAGAAAAAATACAAGCATTTTGTTAAAATCACAATGTACGTAATCTTGTCTCGAGAAACATTCTCAGATTAAAGAGAAACCCATCATGAAACAACAAGAAACCCAACTGCATTTCCTTGTTTGCCTTATTTGGTTTGAGCCATGCTAAATCTGCTAAATCATTTTTCACTCCCTTCAAACTATTAAGGTTCAGCCAATAAAAATTCATAATAGAGCAATGCTGTGGAGGCTGGCTGACATGTAAAGACAGACACACACGTCAAAGACATGAAAAACAACCTGTTAAGTGCAGATAAAATACAGGCCAGTGGGTTTAGAGCACAGAGAAAATGCATGTGCATAATCTCAATATACACATCCCCCTCACACAAGAAGAGAACTGCTACAACTCAAAGGAATAGGTTTGCATTTGGTACGGTAGGGAACTATCCCTAAACATATTTAAGCAAACCGGCCTGTATGGATGAACAACTCAGAGGACAGCTGTCAATAAGATACATGGGATGTTATTTGCAGTGAAAGAGCCAGCGACTGTTGCCAGGTTAATCAAGGAAGGAGGTAGCACATCGCCGGCGGCTCCAAGCCGGCGCCATTTTCTATGTTTTGTACCAGCCCAGTAGGCATTGCCACGGGCAAATATTCATGAGAGATTCATTTTTGATCTGTCTGTCCCACGCTCTGGCACAATTCCAAGCATCAACAGCCTTATTCCCCCGGAGCTATTCTCCCTCCATTATGCTTTCCTTGACAACACCATCAATTTGATTAAACTGGCTGGACAAGGTGCATGGCTGTCAAAAGTGTATATAAAAGATGCGTTTAAAATAGTGCCCATACACCCGGCTCAATGGCATCTCTTCGGAATCCGGTGGGAGGCGAAATTCTGTCTTGCTGTACGGTTGACATTTGGGTGCAGGAGCAGTCCCTGCATATTCAATAAAGATGTCGCAAGCGCCCTGTTTGATCCTGCTGATCAGGGCTAAAGTCCCGTCCATACTGCACCTGCTGGATGACTTTCTGGTGATAGATTAGCAAGCGCATGTCCATCATGTGCGACAACCAGGCAGTGGTGGACATTGTCAACCAAGGCCGCTCCTCTGCCCTTCATGAGAAGTATCACGTGGTCCCGTATCACCAACAACTTCATTATCCCCGCCCGGGTTAGTGTATGAGGAAAGCGTACAGATTTGCTTGCCGTACATTCGCCATGTTTTGTCTGTCCGTTAGCATGGTGGTTCAACCCGTTTCCATAAAAAAGGTGTGTGCATTTATTTGTTACTGCACCGATGTGAGGCATTTCAATCCTCCCTATATCCGTGGTTTGCTTGCCTGCATCCAGTTCAACATTACATGCTATGATCCAGAGTTCCCAAACCTGTTCTCACACATTAGCATCAAGCTACTACTTAAAGGCATTGCGCAAGGGTTGCCCCAAATCCCGGACTCACCTTGCCTAACCTGCAGCAGGCGCTGATGGTACTGATGGTAGGTTTTTCCAATTTGCATTGTGTCCACATCCGTCTTATTTTCATGATTCACATTTTTGTGACAGGAGTGCTAGGACATGCATTAAGTGCATGTTTGAATTGGTAAATATTTAATAACTAGCACTTATTCTAAGGACTTTTCAATGAATCTTGTGTTGTCCTTTTTATTTCACTCTACCTTTTTGCAAAGCCACAACCCAAGTTAATAGCTTAGTGAGGTGTATGGTTTTTCCATATCCTGAATCTAGGATGGGCCTGCCTTTACAGTCCGATGGACAAGCACTAGCATCTTGAATCGGTAGTACTTGTCACAGGGCTGGACGAGGGGGGGTAGTGTAAGCGGTAATCTAGAAGAGCTGTAGAGGTCAAATGCCTAATGCAGGCACACAAGCCAAGAGGACGTATCTGCCTGATCTTAAAGAAAGTATCTGCCTTTGTCTTGAGAGAAATAATGGAGGGGTCCAATATCGCAACTCTCAGGCACCCCAGTGGTAAGTCCAGACAGTTCACTCACAGCATCTTTCATGCAAATACGACAGCACAAGTACCAGCCAATCAGATCGCGTTTATGCTCACGTCTAAAGAGCGCAAAGCTCAAAAAGAAAAGATGGCGGACCAAACTCCATAGAATAGGGCGTCCCTGCTCCATCTCGCCATCAGTTTGGGGGACCTTAGTCTGAAAAACGTTGAAGACCGTTGGTCCAGCACACTGCTTGAGAGGCTGCTCAAGCAGTGTGGAGTTCCTCTGTGATGGCAAAGAGGGCAGTTTCAGTCGAGTTGCTTGCCTCAAAACCCGGCTGTTGGGTCTCGGAAAGGTTCTTCTGGAGATATGCAGCAGAAAGAAGACGTGTTTAAGAACTATCTGGAAGAACGAGCGGTTGTATTTATATGAGTTGTTTTAAAATCGGGTTCCTATGAGCTGCGTTTTTGGTGTGAAGACAAAGAGGTTTTGATGAAGTGGGTAAGGAAGGCAAAGAGGTCAGACTGAATACGGTGAGACAGTATGGGGTCAAGAGGTCATGTGGTTAGGCAGTGGGAGGTGACCAACGGCTAGCACTACATTGGGTGAAAGAGGTGTAAAGGAAGTGAGGGTGGGAGGTGTAGGTAGATGTAGACAGGTGCTGGAGGAGGAGAAAGCAGATGAAACACTGAGAAGAACAAGTGACGGTTGCAGTGGATCCTGTAGCAGTATCTGACAGCTTCATTCCTGGGATCCTCCTCTGACTTTCTCCTTGAGGTTTCTTCCCTTTTTTTCCCTCTTTGTTTTTTTGGGGAGTTTTTCCTGTGCCGATGTGTGGGGGATGTGGGTTTCGGGACAGATGTTTGTGTTTGTGTATGTGTACAGATTGTAAAGCCCTCTGAGGCAAATTTGTAATTTTGAATTGAATTGAATTGAGCTTCAGTAGTACAGCGCTATCAATACGACAATCTGTCCACTGAGCAGCCAAACAACAAAAAGGGAAAAATAATTCACTTATCATTTTCTCTTATCCCAGTTTTTCAAAATCAAAAATAAAGTTAATATTAAGCTACTGAGCTTTCAGTCATAACCCCAACGCCCTGTCAGCTGCTTCCAATTCACTCCGATTGAGTTGCGCACATTTCTTTTTACTGCTGAATAAACCTTATTCATATGAATGATTTGTGAGGGCTCTTCTAAGGAATTGAGGAATTATATCGCTGAATAGTACAATGGGAACATTGTGCGCCTCAAAATTCCCGTGCACTCATATGATGCACTGTAACAGGATAATAAATTCTCTCTCTTTCTCTGTGTGTGTGTGTGTGTGTTTGTGTTTTTTAAAGGAGTGGGAATCAGGTGTGCGTCTGCTATCGACTCTACCATGCCGACTGTAGACTCGGCAAACAACTGCCTTTACAGGTCTGTGGGAAGAATATTCTTTAGAGTGAAAAAAAATAAAAGGGGAATTTGAAATAATAGAAAATTCATCAAATTCCCCCCCAATTTTTGAATCCCTCGGGATCAGACATTGTGTCTTGAAGAGACATTTGGAAATTGAAAAAAATTGGCACACAATAGCGGAAACAACAATGGGTATAATGTCTCCAGAGACATCCACATCCACGCCATGAGTCTCCTGTTATATCCACTGTGATTACTTGTCCTGCTGCGGCTGCTTAGGGCTGGGGAAGCTTCTTGACTCCATTCTGGCCACCTAGATATCTGCTTAACTGTGTGTTCTATTGGCTTATAACCAAGAGGATGGATGTCGCCACTATTTGACTTTAAACAGTAGAAACACTGGGCTGAGCTAACACGCAGCATCTCTAATTTTGTAGCCGTGCTGCTATTTTGAGTTGGATTTTCTTCCCTGTGACTGTGAGCAGGCAGCAGCCAGGATCTATGAGATCTATGAATGGCTTAATAATGCAGCCAGTCCATTCACCCTGCCACATGTTCAGAACTCGTACAAATAATACGGTTGCCTCTTTATTCTGCATTGCAATACACTACAGGAGGTGCTGGGGGCGCTATCGCTTCCGTTGACTACATACACCAAGGAAAAGAAGTTTAACATGTTGAACGTGGGGGGGCCAGAAGAGTCTGGGAGTGTTTCATCAGCGAACCGAACCAGACGGGGCAACGCAGCACCTGCAGAACAGAGTTGTCGTTTCACAGCATCACCACGGCAACGCGGGAACATTTAAAACACAAGATGGATAAGTTTTAGTAAAGTAAAGTAACGCTAGCTTTGTTAACTTATCGTGAGGTCTGCGTAAGGATGCTTTCTAACGCTGTTCCAGTTCTGTTAAATCGGTGAATTATCACAGTAGCGAGTCCTTCAGAGGCTCGTCCACCCCCGGTGGAAGGAGTCTGGGCAGAGAGCGTCCTCTGGTCACTTGCATAGGTGACTTACATATGAAGTTCAAATTCTAACATTTTGAGTCATCATTTTAATTTGCTATTGTAGGGGGCTAAAATAACCTAATCCACGAGAGAAGGGGGCGTAACCCGGGTGACCTGGGGGGTAAAAGGGGAGCAGGAAGTGAATGTTAAGAGATGTTATTGGATGGAAATAAACGGCCACACGTTGTAGCCTTTGGTTCCACGTTCGTACACTGGTCAATAAGAAATAGTCCATTATGAAAACAATGGTTCGTCACAGTCCTACTACAGACTCCGCTAAATGCTGGCTCACCTTTCATTTCCAAATTCAATGTTAAAGATTGCTTTATATTTGTCAGTTTTCCTGAATTTCTTCACATTAATTAGCCTCATTGTTCCTAAGAAACCTGTAAGATGCTGTTCATGCTGAGTTTGTCCATTAACAACTTCTATACATTGATGATGTGGTTCTGCTACCAGCACGTGTCCCATACTTGACCCAAACACCAAACGTACATGTCGCAGAATGAGGATTACTATCCGAGCCATTGTAGGCTTCCTTCACATCATTTGAATTGTGTGTTTTGATGCAAATAACTACTACTTGTTATTACTACTACTACTACTACTACCTATTACACTTTACATATGCACATACTCTGCACTATTTGCTATTTTGCACTCTGGTTGGATGTTAAACTGCATTTCGTTGCCTCAGTACTTGTACCCTGTGCAATGACAATAAAGTTGAATCTAATCTAATCTTGGTAAAAAGAATGAAAATAATTGTGTATTTTGTGAAAATTTCCGAATGGTTTTATACATTTTCTAATAGAAACTCAGCTCACTGACTGAATGCCAAGCCCTCTATCGCCTAATGATAATATGGATCTTCTCTGATTGTACAAAGAGATGCTTAAACAGTTACTGCCCCTCGCTGTAAGATATTTAGTATCCAACATATGAACAAACGGATGATTGCATCAACACTCAACATCACTTATAGTGAAATGAAACATTTACCATGAGAAAAGCAATCTTTGCAATCAGACTGACCTATGATACAGATGTAAAAGGCAGCAATGATATCCGCCTCCTTGGACAGTCTCGAAGCGAAAGGGTCCCCGCGGAGGAGATAATGGGGGATGTATGAAGGGTGCGTCCACGTCTCGTTCTCCATAAGTGGGCGATGTCCTGTGCAGTAGAGAAAAGGGTGAGACAACGGAGATGCCTCCGTGAATTCAGAACCATTCACACACACACACACAAGCTGCAGGTGAACACGGTGCACACCTGCTGGATCGGGGTGTACAAAGTGGGTTACTGACGTAGGTGGGACTGCACGCACGCACACACACACACACACACGCACATACACACACACGCACACACATTCACACACACACGCACACGCACACGCACACACACACACATTCACACACACACACACGCACACGCGCACATTCACACATTCACACACACACACACACACACACAGGAAGAGAGCCTTCACTTCTTCGCCACAAACTAAAGACACGCCTCTTCAGACTCGACTAAAAGACTTAAGTTTTACTTATAAATATTAAATTGGCTTATTTGAGGAAATTGCACTTTCTTGTTTCTTGCTCTTCTGAGTTTCTATCAGTGCTGCACATCTTCTCAGAATGTCATCACAAATTGACAATTACACTAAATTATATTTTTCTAGGTTGATGAAGTCAGAAAATGTGTCTACAAACATTTAAAGATTCATTTGAAGGTCTCAATCAAAGATTAAGCAAAGTAACATTCATTCCATTAAAACGCACTAAACGGGCTGATAGCGTGTAGCCAACGGCTTGAAGAGCCACAGATAACTGTGAATAATTCATCATCCATCATGGCTGAATTTCATGAAACAACTTTAGTTTCAGGGTTTCAGGGTGTATCATAGGTTAGGTTACCCTAACCCTAACCCTGGGATGTGAAGCCCCCCGCTGTAATGACCCCCCCCTCTCTGTAATGACCCCCCCCTCTCTGTAATGACCCCCCCTCGCTGTGATAACTCCCACCCCTTTCTGTTATGCACGCCCCCCCGTTGTAATGACCCCCACCCCGCTGTAATAACCCCCCCCCTCTCTGTAATGACCCCCCCTCGCTGTAATAATAAAGAACAGCAGAGAGGCAGTGGGATTCGAACCCGACTTTCCTGCGCTGTAATCGTGACGCCTCACCACAGGGACAAACGGGCTTTTATCTAGAACCTCAAAGTTCTTGCAATTGTACCAATCCAAGAATAAGTAGATGGTGCGAGACACAATGCATGAGATTTATATGTGCGTGTGGCAATAAATGCGTCTCTACTGGCAGTTTGTTTCACGCTCCATCCCAGCCGACTTCTCCCCACAAACACACATTGTAAGCGCAGAAACAGACTCTTCAGTTTTCAAAATCTTAAACTATGATGACAATAAAACCGTTTTTCACACGTTTTGAAGCTTTAAATCATTAACTATGTTAAAGTAGAGCGAGGCACTGGGGCTGAGAACTTGGGTGTCCATTCATTCCAATGGAGCGATTTGACTCGGCATTTGGGGATTTTTGGGAAAACCTTAAGTCATTTCTCTTAGCGAGGTCATAGCACACGATTCCCAATCGGTCCAAACTCATTTTGAGACAATTTCAAGCAATGGTGCGGGAGGAGAAGCTTGCCAAACGTTTGTACAGAAGAGAATAAGGAAAGAAGCCCGAGAGATTACAAGGAGTGTGGCTCAGCTGCGCAGGCCACACTTAATAAGAAAAACGCTACAACCAAGCTTTAAATAAAGACATTTTGGGGACCAACTATGTGTCTACGTAATACACAGGTATACGCCTCATAACCACGAGTAGGGACGTCCGTTTAGCCACTAACAGAAGCGTGATGATACGTAACATCGTTGTGACAGAACGTTTCATTCATAAAGTCACGTCTGTGTTGTGGAGCACTGACATTTGGACCTTTGGGGCTTCCTTGGATAATCTGACACAACAAGTTGTTACTTAGCAACAACGCGTTGTTTGGCGGGCGATCTGAGATACAGTCAGAGTCCCTGAAGCTGTGACACTGCAGCTGCCACACGTTGTCTCCAGCGAACGGCGAACAGCTGTTCGTGTGTCCTTTTCGGGGACAATGAATGAATGTGTTTACTTGAGAAAGCGATACCGTCACATACGCCGTCATCATCTTTCTTAACACTGTGTGGATTTCTGGCCGTAACGTGCAGCCCTACTCTTTGCGGTGGGATGTGCATGTTGGTAGCAGTTTTGCTAAGCGATGCCCGGATGAGCTGATTAAAAATATTGCCGGCCTGTAACTTTAATGCCATCGGATACAGAAATACGGTGGTTTGCATCACAACACGCTTCCAACAACGGCTGCACATGGTAACAGCATGGATTCCCCCAGAGTAAAGATTCCCCGATATCCTCCACAGAGTGGAATCATTTTGAGTAGAGACCCAGCAATGTGTGGCTGTAAACTGTGCAGGTTATAAATGGCTTATCACAGCTGTAGAACTGCCATGTATCATCTGTCATTGTTATTTAGTTTATTAAATAAAATATTCAAATCAGAAATATGTTCTAATAATATTTCTAATATTGCAATTGAGGCAACAAATGTTTTCAACGCTGTATGAAAATATATATTTTAATTATTTTCAGAAGTGGAGAAATATCATTATGCAACACCCTAAATTGCATTGATTGAAACCGTTTTCATATTGATATTATATTAAAATGCGTATAGATGCGACTACAGCAGGAGTAATATATTATGGACTTAATCGGTGGTTTGAGACAAGCTGCGATGTCCTGTGTGAAAGTCTCTGACCTTCCTTCCTTCCGGCTGCTCAACCAACTGTGCACAGAGGGAACCACAGGACATTTCATCTATTTTATATGTGCAATAAAGACGTGTACGTGTACATATACATTTACATACATTTATTTGGTACTCAGTTACTGCAGCTTTTGCACACGTCAATTTTTTAAATTTTTTTATTTCACTTTAATTTTATTCTTATACTTTTCATATTTGTATCATTATCACAAAGCTTGTTTTTATCTTTATTTCATCTTGTGTGCACTGTCCACTTTGCTGCAGCGATCTGTGAATTTGCCCATTGGGACTAATAAAGGAATATCAGATCTTATCTTACATGCTTTGTCCAGACACGTCCTCTTATGTTGGATTTACACCAAATATCTAATAAGATGTAAATGAAACAAACCTATCCTTCTTCACAGGTATGTACTGGATGTATAATATACACTGTACAGAAGGCAGGATATTTATTAAGTTCTTCATATGTTACATAGATTCAAATAAGAAAAAACTGCATTTCCACAAAAAAAAATATTTCGATTATATATATATATATATATATATATATATATTTTTGTGGAAATGCAGTTTTATATATATATATCGGTTCTATGATGTATTCTGTTTCTTCTTAATTCTATTTAAATGTTTCATTATGAGGCTTGTTTGTAGAAACAATTCTCAGGTAAAATAAGCTGCATCTGTCACGGTGTGGTTCACTTCCTGTCTTATTTTGTAGTTTTCTGCCACTCGTGTCCCGGGTAACCTCACTTCCTGCCTTGTCCCGTCATCCCCTGTGATCGTCTAATAGTTTCCACCTGTGTCCAATCACCTGCACCTCCCTAGTGTATTTAAGCCGTGTGTCTCTTGTGTCTCTTGTGGTGTCATTGTCGATCGTCGTGGATGCTCGTAGTTTCTGCCTGCTGGTTTTCCGCTGGTTCCTGTGTGTTTTTGCCCCTTGGCCTTTTTCCTTTTACCGTTGTGACTATTAAAGTCTTACAGATGAAAACCTCTATAGTCAGACACGGAGGCGTGTTTGACTGCGCGGAGCATCACTTTGCAGTCAAACCAGTCACTACATTTGATTTGACCTACGTGCCGTTCCAAAAATAAAATCATTAGATCCAAAGACTTGCAACCGGGTCCAAAACTAACTTACATGCACAAAGAGTTCTACTGTTGTCGGCGTGCGGCTGTTGGCCAATCAGCTTCCTTGGAGGCTTTTACCACATGTGGACTGAGGAGGTCCGGAGGAGTTAAGTCGCTTCCCGGCTTCTGCTCAGGAAATCATTCTTTTAAATAATTAATGTATGAAAATAAATCATGTTGTGCAATGGAATAATTACAACAATAATGGGAGTTTACAACTCAAAGAAATACAGAACCATATGGACCCAATATCAACACCCGATGGAAAAACAACATGTTATGTAAAACTAAAATGGGAATAAGAACTGGGAGTGAAAATCACAAATGATGAATGGTTAAATATTTGGACGACAAAACAATCCTCAACATCAATGTGGAGGAAGCACCGTTGGAAAAATGTATCCGATTATTTATTACCCCCCGAATCACAAGTGTCTGTCTATTGCCCAACCGTGTTGGAGGAATTGTGGGGCAGTAAATGTAAACCACTCCCATGTATTTTGGCTTTGTGCAGAAATGATTGAATTGTGGGGAGAAGTTCACACCACCACGGTCAGAATCCTGGGCTATGTGTGTGTTTCCTTAGCGTGGTAACACACAGGAGATGCTGTGCTAAGAGAAGACCGGGGTCTCTTGAATACCAGCTAGCAAAAACAATGTGACTGAACTGCTGACCCACCAAATCAGAACCAAAGAGGAACAATGTCGTGACCAATGGGAGAAATGGAAGAAGTTCAACCCATAAACCACCGTGTAGAAGAGCACATGAAGGTTGCCTCAGGATTTATTTCTTTTGTTTTGTATGCATGTGTGTACATGTATGTGTGTGTATCCTGTCTGTGATTTTTTTTTTAATCATGTTGAAACATAAATAGTAAAAACGTACAGTGGTTTACAACGAAACAAAGCCCCATAGTTCAGACCAAGGTGGGACAAATCCAAACCAGCGCAAAGCAGATCGTTCTAATCTCACCTTTCAAATTAAAAGCCCTAAACATTACCAAACACTCAATTTCACTAAAAGGAAAAAAGCTTAAAATGTGTTTTGCTAAAAGGTCATTTGTTATTGTCTAAAATCATACGTAGCACAACTTGGTTGGCTGGTCATGGCAGCGGTAGACCGGCTCCCCGTTCATCATCATAGATGAGCTTTGTGGAGGTGGTCTCTGGGGTTCATCTTGTCTCAGTCCATTAAGCGGGAACAGCAACCCCAGCTGAACATGTTACTTTGGCCTACTGGTCTCTGGGACCAGCTCCTGGGTCAAACCCTGGTTTGTTGAGTTTCTGGCCCGGATTTCACATCAGAATAATGTGAACAGCCATAATTAACTTCAGAGAGAACTACAATGCTTCGATTTACATTCCAGCTATTATCCAAGTACTGATGAGGCTCACGAGGCTGCTGACGGATCACAGGTCCCTCTGGACAGCTTCCGTAAGAAGACTTTCAGAGGCTGTTTAATGCACAGACGTAAGTCCTGTCGGTTCCAATAGAAAACGTGTGTCAGCTGGTAGGTGACAAAGCACCGAAATGAATCTGAGGATTTTCTACATAGAAAGTACAGCATGACGCTCTGTGGAGACGAGAGCTTCAACCCGCTTATACAACGTCTAACACACAACTCATCAAACATGTAGAGCAATTCTCTCATTGAGCTCATCCAAATACGGAACGTGCTCTTACATAAACTCTGAATGTTTCGTTTTTCTTATTATTATCTCGATCAGTACAAACGGTGTGAAGGCATTTGTAACGGCTGCTTTGACAAAATAGCAAAAGATTTGTATTGTATTGGCAAAAGGAATAGCTGCATTTTACTGATGTCAGAACCCTGATGTAATCACACATCTTGTGATCCTGCGTTTCAAAAAAAAAAGTCAGTGAAGCTTCTCAAGCCTCTCGTGTCACCGATGAATCCTGCTGCATCGTCGCATAGACGCCTCCTCAACTACATTTAAGTTGCTGCTTATATATTTTTGCAAGAAAAATGGACAGAATTTCCCAAAAGCTGAACTTTCTATGGAAGGTTTGCGGAAAGGTTCCGTCCCTTTGCAATCCCACAATAAAACACACCTCTACAACTACGCCGTGACAGCAGATTAGATCTTGTGGTTCTGGGTTTGTGCCCTCGGGGTCGGATGCACTAAAAGCTTTATCTAAATGAAATGTGATTCATTTGAATTCACTCATAAATTCTTGCATTTGAACAGTGAAGAGTTCTGCTCATTTTCAATAAAAAATGTCACTCCTGGGTTCAAGTATGTGTTGTATTAAGAAGTTGTAAGATCTTGTGCCAGAAAAGCCATTATATCAGAAAAATAAGTCATTTAATACTAAGAATCAAGTTGTACTCTAATCTCAAATTGTAATTTTACTTACTTATTTTAATTTTAAAATTATTTCAGAATAGCAAAAGGACTGAGGGAGTGTGATGCAGCTGTAGAGCCACAGCTCTCAGAATATAAGAACTTGTTTTACTTCATATAATGTTTAGTTGTTTATTAAATATATGAATATTGAACCAATATATAACAATACAATCCCCGTTGTTTCCTTAAATAAGCGCATTACTTTTGTCTTCTATTAATTTACTCTTTTCTGACATCATTATTCAGATATTATTGGTGCTGGTCATTTCCATCATATGGAGGAACTGGGTCCGAGGGCGGGAAGTCATGTGATTGACAGGTCGTGAGCCCAATTTGTGATTTGTGCCCCCCGCCTCCCCTCGTGATGTTTTCTAGCAAATTCCTTAAATAGCTTCTGGCTGACTCGTGAAGCGCAGATACAATTTAATAGATAAATTGTTTCTGCGCTTCACGAGTCAGAACACGCACTTTCCTCCTCGTGCTCCTGAGCACCAGTCGGGTTCGGACGCGCGTTCTCCTCCGTGCGTCCGAACCCGTGTTTGAATGGTGACGTGCACGTGCTCGGCCTGTGCGTGTGTCATATGGCGGTGATACGTTTATAACACACCTGTGTTTCATCGGGAAAATGTCATTTAAGTCACATTGTCAACATCATTAGAAAGAGGTGGAAGTGACTGAATGGAGCGTGTCGGTGTGGATAAAAACAAGTTTGTTCTAATAAGGATCAATATGAAGAGAACCCGCCGTGGACAGAAAGAGTGACGGTCACTCACCGTTTATTCAGCGGCCATCCCGCGCACTTCAACCCCCACGAAGCGAGCGTCCTCCGGGGGACGACGAGCAGAGGACCAACAAGCAGGTCCTCGCAGCACTTTTATGAGTAGAACATCAGTTCGCAGCGAAAGGGTCGCACGTTCCGGTCAAACCTTTCACAATAAAACCCCGGTTTCATATTGGCGTCACATCGGGCTTTAAAACGTCTGACAGATATTTATCACCACTTTCTGATGTTTATGTACCAGACAATAGATCATTGATAGAAACAAACATGAATTGCAGCACACAGAATATAAACAATACCATTAATTGACAGGTCTTAAAGTATTAACCATTTGTTATGCTAATAACAAGTAAAATAGTTTGTTGTGTAGATTTATCATTCAGAGAACCATCATATTATTTTATATAACTTTGTTTGCATAAGTGTAAACTATAAAATGAGTATTGCATCCATTTTGACTTTTTGGCTTTTAATATACAGACTTTTACTTTGAAGGGAAACGGTCCCATTTCCTGTTGCGCGTCTCACTTGAGCACCGGCCGCCCCCCGCTGAGGAGACTCACCAACACTGAACAAGTACTGTGACATTCTCCCACGGGCTACTTATATCAGCATGTCAGATACTTGTAGTTTGTAGAATGTGTCAAATATGCTTGAAATGAATGTGAGAATCCATAAAGAATAATACGTGTTTACAAATGAATGTAATATCCGAGTAACTAATGAAGACATCTCACACGAGGCGACGTTTAAAACCTTTAGTCAACTTGTTCCTCGTCACGCACTTGCTACGGAAGCCTGGAAGGACGCACCTGTGTCCATAACTCACCGTCCAGCAGGGGGCGACACAGAGTCCTTTGTTGTTCACGTTCAGCATCGGAATTGATTGGCTTCCTGTTTGCTACCTGCAATCTGCATCAGTCTCCAGCTTTGAGGAGACACTTTTTCATTTTCCTCAATGCCAAACAAAGATGGCGAGCTGACCGCCAACATGCTGCCCACCATCCGAGTTATCGGATCCCGGCGTGTGGAGGCGGTCACTGCGTTAACCTACAATTATGATCATCAAAGGGCTGCGTTTCAAAGACGAGTGGGGACAGATGAAGATTCAGGCGCTGTGTGTGATGCAAAGCTTCCCTTCCTCTGCCGAGTGTTTTATTAAATTGCTTCGGTTTGCTCTCGTCCGTAAAAACGTTTCTCATGAACCCGTTAAAGGATTTCTGCATCCACGTAGAATGAGACCAGAGGCCGTGAAAATAACAGGCTGATCCAGGTTCAGCCCAAACAGCAACTTCCGCTTCTGAAAACGCAGTAAACGGTGCCGTGCCTTCAAGCTGCCTCCTCAGAAATGGATGTGAAAATATCAATCCGGGAGATTGAAACTGCAATTTTCACCTTCTGCAAGCAACTTGCCAAGGATGCACGCGGAAACCAAGCAAATCCTTCTCAGGTCTGAAAGAGTCCATTTGTTTTTGTGCAGGAATAAAACGAGGACAAATGTTCAGCTGTATCTGCTCAGTTGGTCCTCGGCAGGACGTCTCGCCGTCTGGCACCACCCTTTTGTTTGTAAGCAGGCGGCGACCAGCTGAACAAAGGCCGTGCAGAAGAGTCCATGAGGAAAACAGAAGTTTCATCAGTAAACATGAGTTCTTGGTTTCTAGTCTTCCTAAATACAGCATGATGAAGTGATCAGCTGGAGCACAGAGCAGGCGGCGCCTACGTTATGGTTGACAGGCTGCTGCCTCAGACGTCCGCAGGCCAAACGTGGTCACTAATTTAACTGGTGGTTAAAGTCAATGCCCCAAATCCAAGATGGCGTCGGCCCAAATGCTGAACTGAAACCTTCTACAAGCCAATGGTGACGTCACAGTGACCACGTCCACTTTCTACGCTGAAGTGAGTCCTTTTTATTGTCTGTGCATCAACGCAGGGACGCCATGAATAAGAGCAACCAGAGGAGCCGTGCCCCCTCCCTCCGCAGGGACCCCCCTATCGACCCCAGACAGTCTGACTCTGTTCAGCCCTTTAAGGCCAAACTTGTTAGTTAGTGATCCTTTTATTACAGCGATCTGGATGGATCATTTCAGCGTAGTCGTCTTGCCCACAGGGACAACATAACAATAAGTCCATATTGTTTGTGTCCCCCTCTATCACGCCCTTCATCTCTTATTTAACCCCGGCTTCTTTGAGCTGGATCATGGGGCCTCCCTGGGGCCACACGGGCCAACCATCTACATCTTCGTGTGGGACTCATTGCCTCCTCCAGGTAACCTCCCATGGTGAATATTCTCATGTATTTCTTGCTTTTAAAATGTCCACACCTTTTTAAAAACTATGCACATGTACTGGACACAGTCTGACAGCCCAAACTGTGTCCATTCAGAACGCAACGCAGCTAAAACACGACCTCCATGACAGAGCAGCTTGCTGTGAACTCTGCGCCCTGCAAAGGGAAACCACTGCAGGGGTCTTTTGAACGTGCATTCTTTGTGATTCGGATCGAAGGACTACATGATGTGGTTTTTTTGTGATGTTCATTTAGTAAATGATGGTCCATTCAGACAGATGGACCACCTGGGGATGCTTTAGGGTGGGGATATGTTTTGATTGACAAGCCTTAAATGAAAGATAATTATGAAACTCATTTCAGATTCAGAAACATAAGATGCCAAACTTTTCTTCTGGCGCCTCTATTGCTCAGAGAACTTGCATGAAGTTCAAAGGTTTGAAGGTCATCTGGTGAATATTAGATTAGGACTTTGCCCGGAGAGGATCTGAACAGCTGGATCGACTCCCTACTTGTTTTTTGTAATCTGTCAAAAAGCGTTAAGACGCACAGCTACAGAGATACAAGCGGAAGGTTCTCTGGTTTTTCTTGTGCTGCCCCAAAAGTCTTTGTACGGATTCACACCAGAAGCACAGATCCCAGAGCTGCCAGCAGTGACGGGTGACGAGCGTTTGGGTTGAAGTGCGCTGAGGGCAACAGACATCCGGTCCCCCGTCTCCTGTTTGGACGATGATGGAGGGACAGTTTGACAGTTTGGCCCAAAGCACATTTAAGTTGGAGAAGTAGTTTCTCAGGTCTTTATACATGATGCATTTTTATTCTAGAGGCAGATTTATTCAGATTCAGATTTTTTGTGTGAGGAAATATAAACTCTAGTGTAAATTATGTGTATTTACATAAAATTGTTTTGTTTATCCACAAGTTCGAATAAATTCCACCCACCTTTAGTGGACTTGGTAATTATCCTAAACAGGTAACGTTTATTTTTAGCGGCCCCCCCCCCCCCCCCCTTCTGTAGCTCCCTAATCACAACTCTCAGGCACTGAATGTGATATTCAAGGTATTTTCTCTGCCAAACATCAAAATGTTTTCCCCCATAAAGAAATCTCTCATCTACCGTGTAACCGTGTAACCCCCCCTTGCTGCGCGATGCTAACAACAACATGGAAACCCCTGTGCAGGAGCTTAATAAGCAGGTTGAGTCCATTTGTATCCTCCTCAATGTCACATTCATAATCCCCTCTTTGCGTTCAGCCAGCAGCAGCTGAGGCAAGTCGTGCGCCATGAAGTCCCTGGATATCTGCTGCTTCACGCATCGCCCCTCAGAGCCCTCTTAGTCGCCTCGGCCTGTTTCAACACCTTTAATGGAACCTTCTGTCTGTTCAGTCTTGACTGACTCCAACTCCATGTGAGAGCCGCTCGATTCTGAAACCCCCAGCGGACCAATAATAAGCTCCTTCTCAAACCCCATCCACCCTTGTAATGAATCTCACAGCCCAGTCAGCAGGTGGAGAAGCTTTCACATAACATCTACAATCTGACCTGAGATTGTAGTTAAAAGGTGGGGGGTTAAATTGGGTCGGATCAAGGCTGATCGGTTTTTAATTTTCTTTTTTTCTCAGAGGTTCAACCAAACTACTGAAACTTTATTCATCCCCAAGACGGAAAACAAGGCAGCTGTCAGTCACGAGTGAACTACTGCGCTGCACGTCCTAGAGGTTCTAGTGAGAGTAAGGAACCAAGTAGCTTCATGTGTGTGGAGAAGGGGCCGGGGATGAAAAAATTCATTCATTTATATGTTGTACTCAACTGGTGGAAACAACATCTTATGTTCTCCTATTTGAACCCGCAGCACTTCTTCTTCTGAAAGTCCCAAGATACCGTATCTAACGGCATTTGCACCCATTTTTTTTCCCCCAGTAGATAAAAGAAGTAACTAAATCAAGTTTCATATTGCCCAATGCAAGTATATATTTTAAATTACTACAGGAATATTAGTATGAGGTCATGACAAATCCACCAGACAGAATTTTTATTTTAGCTGGTGATTTGAATTAAACAAAAATCTGCAGAAGAAATAATACAGTGGACCATGTTTGCACCACTGTAACCTTGCAGGTGACATCATTCATCAGCAAATATGTTGATTATGTGGTGATCGCAAAGAGGACATAAGGTCCTTACCAGAAAGCCTGATGAATGGAGATGGGACGGCACCATCCAAAGCCAAAAACGCTTCCGTATGAACTGAACGCTGTTATCAAAGAGGAACCGTCAACAGAGACCTCAACAACAACCACTCTCAAGGTCACCGAATATCAAACCAGGTGTGCCCACATCTCTGGTGCCACATTGCCCGATGAGTTTAACATCTATTCTCGCTTTAATGTCTTCATCAAAGAGTCAGCTGTCCAGCAGAACGGCATCTATCCACAGCGGGTGTGAGGAAGGGTCGCTGGGCCTGATAACGCTGTGTACCAACAACATGTGGCGACCAGCTAACCGATCATCTCTGACATCGTCCCCACCATCTCCACGACAGGCCTAAAGGACCAGCGACTGATCAAACACCACATCCCCCCCAGCCTGGACCGTTTCCCACCGCTCTCCACTCAACCGCACTCATCTGCAGAAAAGCAGCTACATCAGAATGTTGTTCATCACAACGTGTCACGGTTTGGGTTCATGTCTGGTTTTATTTCGGAGTTTCCTTCCTCTGTTCTCCCTGGTCACGTCACTTCCTGCCTTGTCCTGTCGTCCCCTGTGATTGTCTGTCATGTCATGATTGTTCCCAGCTGTGTCCAATCACCTGCTC